TTTCTACTTGCATTTTTTAACATGATTTTGAACTGCTAGGTTGGCAGAAGCTGGGACAAATAACGGGAGCTCACCCTTTTACGCGGCGCTAGGGATTCGAACCGCCAACCTTTCTGATCGACAAGCTCAGCGTCTTAACCACTGAGCCACTGCGTCCTTTCCCCTGCTCCTCTAGTCATCTATTTTTTTAGTTTTCAGGTGTCAATGGGACATTTCCTGCCCTAATCTCAAATCCAAGGCACCAATTTACTTCTCAGCACTGAAACGTCAATGCTTGGTGTGCCTCTTGGCTTCCAGAGGACCAATTTCAACATTAAAGAAGTCGATGTAGACGAAGTGATTCTAGAAACATTTCGTTGCTCTGTGGCAGCAACTTTCAGGGAACTCACAGGATTGCTGTAGCTCTGGATCTAGGTTTTCTTTCAGTTTTTACTTTTCTTGGAACATACATTTGTTTTCCATAGCACATGACCCCCATCGCCCCCCAAAATCTTGAATTCTGGCAGGTGCATCTAATAGAATCTTATCTTGTCCTCTTGACAGGTGCCAGGTTGGCAGTGCAATGTGCCCCGTGGACAAAGCGCACCGAAACCAGTGCCAAGCTTGTCGCTTGAAGAAATGTCTCCAGGCGGGAATGAACAAAGACGGTAAACCTGAATCTGGGGGAAAGGGCTGATTCTTGGTTGATCTTTCACCTGGAAGTCTTTCGCAAGCAGATCCTACAGGCAAACCTTCCCCACCTGGTGCCTTGGAGATGTCTGAATTCATTAATGATATATTTATATCCCACTTTGTTTTGTACAAGGGAGTAAGAGGCTGAGCTTGTCCATCAGAAAGGTCGGCAGCTCAGCGGTTCGAATCCCTAGCACCGCGTAACGAAGTGAGCTCCCGTTCCTTGTCCCAGCTTCTGCCAACCTAGGGTTCGGAAGCATGTAAAAAATGCAAGTAGAAAAATAGGAACCACCTTTGGTGCGAAGGTAACAGTGTGCCGTGTGCCTTCGGGCGTTTAGCCATGCCGGCCACATGACCACGGAGACGTCTTCGGACAGCGCTGGCTCTTCGGCTTTGAAACAGAGATGAGCAGCACCCCCTAGAGTCGGGAACGACTAGCACATATGTGCGAGGGGAACCTTTACCTTTACCTTATTTTGTATGGAATGCCCCTTCTTCCTGTTTTCCCCACCATGCCACCCTTGTGAGGTGGCTTGAGCTGAGAGCGACCAGCCAAAGGTCCTCCATCTGGCTTCCATGTCTAAGGAAGGTCCAGAATTCGGAGCCTCTCTGGAGCTCCAAGAACCAGTGATGGGTTCAAATTAGGAGGGGGGAGACGCAGGTCCTAGTCCCTCCCTAACCATGAGAATTCTCTGGGGGGACTTTGGACCTGGAATGCTTTCTCTTTCAGCCCAACAGTCAAGATGGAATAGCGGTGAAGTAGCCAGATTAGAGGTTGGAGACCCACCATAGACCTTGGGCCACCTGTGGTTTTGGAAGCCAGGAGCATAAGGGCTTGAAACCACTGGGGATCCAATCATCCCAATCTCTTCTGTTAGCTGAACACACTCAAAGGGAGGAAATGAAACCTACTCTGCCCACTTTGGTGCTTATCCTGACCTTCTTCTGCTTCCAGCGGTTCAGAACGAACGCCAGC